ACGTTCCTCCGAAACGTCGGCCAAAACGAAGAATACACGGTGCCTAAACCCAGAAGACGACTTTCTTCATTGTCATCGCCGTGAAAACCTCAAAACTTACATAATATGAAAATTAATTAAATTACTGATTCCTTGAAATAGAATCCTTCGTTAGCTTTTGAAGAAATATCCGGTCTTTTATAGGACTTCACGTTTCATCCTCACATCCCCGTAGCCAATTTACTCTGGTTGCGTTTAAGGCGACATAAAGGGTTTTACGGGAAGGTGAACCTGTGATTCGTGGATATGGTAATTATTTTCAGTCACGTAGAAAAGTGAAATGTTAAGGTCTCCTAAGCACCCCGTTCCATTGAGATATAGCGATTCAAATTTTGTAGGTCTTTGCACTTATTAACACTGGTAAATATATATGTAATAATTTGTAGCTGCCCGGTATAGTTTGCTTGCTGACTACAGGCCATGGAGTTTGTTTGTTGTAGCTGCCTGAAACAGACCCAAATTAATCGAGGTTTACTCATTTGAATTTGACCGAGAGATTTCGATCCCCGTCTTGCGAATAATACGGATGGTTTGAGTCCGTGAAGTATATTACACTGAGTTGTCTTCAGGCAAACACAACGCACTCTTACGTAAAACTTGAATTCTTCTGGAACCCTCTCAGGGACACGTTACATCGCGCCTGAATTCAGTCGAGCTGCAGTGACTTGAATTCGTTTCACTGTCGAAGAGAGTTTGCAACATTGAAGCATGTGACGTCACTGCAACTCTTCAAACCCGAACAAGTCGACGATGTATAGTTCCGAATTCAGTCGCGAGGCCAGGACGGACGCCAAGTTTAGAAGTTCCTGAAATATAATTTAACTACAGTAGCTTTAAATTAATCACAAAACAATTAATTATAATGATTTGTATAAGCGGTAGAATAGTTGGTTGAGGCACTATGCTACAAGCCGAAGGTCGCGGGATCGAAACCCAATGAGATGGGTTTTCTTTTTCAATTTACCTAATCCTAGCCGCAGTATGACCCTGGGGTCGACTCAGCCTCAACAGAATTGAGTACCAGGAACCTTCATGGGGGCTAAAGGGCGGCCGGCGGGTAAGGCTGACAACCTCACCGCCTTGTGTGAGCCGACTGTCTAGGAAATGTGAGAGCCTCGACGTGTCACAACCGAATGTGCCTCCATGGCCTCTCACAGGGAGAGCTTTACACGCGGTGCGTCATTAGGGGCTAAAGGGGCTAAGCCCCACATGATTTTCTTGTAGTATTGAATTTTCATATTCATTCATATTTTATTCTGTTTATTGAGATCAAATTTGTATCAAAATATTAATATTTCTCGTTATCATGATGCAATTAAGGAGACACGAAAATGCAGTAGTGATGTCTTGGCCATATCACAGCTTATTTGTACGGTTACAATAAAGCAAGGACTAGCTCGTCTCTAGCCCTTACTGTGTGTATCGTTAGCAGCCTTAAGTTCAGTGAAACTTTCAGGGATTCTAAGTATCGCATGCGTCTTGAAATGTCACGCTTGGGGCTAGTTTTGACAAGCCCGCAATAAAAAAGAACACTATACACAAGGCTGAAAGGGACAGCTGGAGTGTGGATGTAATTGTGAACTTACCTCTATTCTTCCAGCCTTAAGTAACACGTTCTTTGTAAGAATAGACAGAGGATAGGTTTCAGAAAGCATTCACATTCCATCTTTCAGTTGTGTTTTGAGCAGTGGAGAAGATACAAGTTCGGGAATAAAGTAATTTTAGCATAGGCCTAAATTAAAATTGTTTTTCAAGTGTAATTTCCAAATTAGGTTTTAGGTTAATATTGTATTCGTATTAGAATTAGTGATTAATATGAATAGGGTGGACGCCCTCCTGAAATCACCTTTCTCAACTTTGAGTTTAGAAGAGAAATTACAAGTAAATCTCTTGGCGCGCATCAACCAACAGATTTCAAACTTGATCAGAACTGCAAGACTCAGAAAAGAACGTTTCCGTTATCTTGGTTTCACAAGAAGAAATGGCTGACTAAGTGAAGAAAAGAAATCAATTTTCTGTTTTATGTGTTTATTGTTTGGTGGGGAAACGAGTTGGACTGTGACAGGTATAACTGACTTGCTTCCTACATGCACAAATTTCTTAATTTTTTTTTTCTCACAAAAATAGTCATGTATTCCAACCACTATCTCCTAACCATACGCCAGTGCCTTACCAAAGGACCGCCACGGTTATGACAACTATCAGCCTTCGTCTTCCTATATACAAAACCCTGCTTCTGTCCTAGCCCCTTCACCCCTCCCACTCCACTTTTCCCATGTAGACTTCACCCCCCCCCNCCCCCCCCTTCACTGCTCTCACATAGCTGTGTTTATTTCGAACACCAGTCTGCTTGTACCGGTTCTCACGGTCTCTTCGCTTGCGGATTTTCTTATTTTTCCTTCTACCCTGAAGATGGAGGCGATACGTTCCTCCGAAACGTCGGTTAACACCACATCTACATGGTGGCACACCCCTGAAGACTGTTTTTTTCATAGTCACCGCCGTGAAAACCTCAAATCTTACATAATTCAATTGTTGCCGATGTGTTCGATATCCGTTGCCTAGGGATAGCTCGCTTGTTTACGTACAAAGCCGTTACCACATAATGGACAATGTTTAAGTAGTTATGTCACAATATACTTACTCTGTTTACTTCTTACTGTTCAGTAGCCTAGGTTTAGAATAGTAACGTTGTTCTTTTTCTATTATTTTTAAAGTTGAGCCCCGATTAGGTTTTGACTTTATCTAATCCTTCTTTCTCAAGGTAGGTTTTAGTACTCTTTAGATGATAGGTGGATCCCTTCTAGGACCTTTACATAGTGATGCTAAAAGATTTAAATTTGTCCCCATGCTTAACTAATTAAGCACTATGCCATGAAGGCGTGTGGGCAAGTGGATGGATAGATCGACATTTTCTTACCTCGGCACTAGTTGGCGATGAGTGGTCAGCTTCACGGCCCTGTCGCTTTACCCCTGGGGAAAGAACCCCAGTTACCTATTGGATAGGAGGTTGGGTGGACCCCAGAGGCGGTATGGACGACATGGAGAAGTGAAAATTCTTGCCCTCACCGGGACTCGAACTCCGATCCTTGGTCGTCCAGCCCATAGCCCTTTGCTGTACCAGCTACGCTATTCCTGCTCTTAATACCGGGGGTATCTGGTTTAAATCTTGCAAGGACAGACTATTCTGACTGGGGGCATGGTTTCTTGGTTTTCCTCAGTCCTTCAAGTAAAGTGCCTGGATAGTACCTCAACGTAGGTTATCAGTGCCCACCTTTGACCAGGCACAATGAAGGTCTTCAGCTATGGAGATTGGGAGTGTACAGTGGACCCAGTAATGGTCTGAGTGCTTAGGGTGACTAAAGTTCCCCCCCATGTCAATACTCGGTAGGTGAAAGTATGCCACAGCTACTCACATGTTCCTGCCAAGTCATTGTTCAGTCTCTTTAAAGTCAGCAGTTGCTAAACCTAATTTTCGTTGATGCCTAGACAGAATGAGTACAACACGAAAAACCCCTAGCCGAGCGGAAATTTGAATCGAGTACCTCCTGTGTGAGCCTATGAGTCTAGAGCTTTATCACCACACTAACATGCTCAATACACATTTAGGATAGTAGTTACTAGGATTTCAACAATTGAAAGGATTCATTTTATTATTTTTACACACAATTTAAAGTCAACCAAATGTCTGATTCCTATGCTGCAAAATACAGTTGGTTGACAAGTTTGTGATGCAAACATTTCCTCTAGACTCCACTGGCAGAATGATTATTGCCAAATTTTAAAACAGGGATCAGAAACATTTTCTTTTCCAGGTCGTGGGTTCAAGTCCCAATGAGGTTATTGGATTTTTTTCAATTGACCTAATTCTTCCAGCCGCACTATGGCCCTGGGGTCGACTAAGCCTCTAACAGAAATGAGTACCAGGAATTAATTAAATAATTTTCTTGGGGAGTAAAGCGCGGCTGGAGCGTAAGGCTGACAACCTGACCGCCATCTTTCAGCGGATTGTCTGGATAATGTGGGACCCTCGTCTCACAACCCTATGGGCCTTCACGGCCTGTTACAGGGATAGCTTTACTTTATTTGTTTACTTTTATGTAAATGTCATACATGTATTCATCAGTATTTATAGTCATGGAAACCAAACAAATTTAATACATTCAGCAGTACATTTATCCATATATATAACAATACAAATCATATATTAAAATTAATGAATGCTGTAGAAGCAGTATGACACATGCTCATGACATAATCATTAACATTAACGAAAGAAAAGTGCCTATTGAACTCAGCAGATGAGTGTGAAGGGGATGCAACTACAGTTGCATTGAAATCGCCATGGACCATTACAACAACGAATGAAGTTTTAATGCATTTTACATTTATCTGTTTTACAGGAAATTGCTGTGCAGAGTTCTTATCTCTAATTCGGCTTTCTCTCAAGTCACCCTCAATGGCCTCACAGGGCTCAAATTTTGAAGGAAGTGTCCCTCATGCGTTTGTGACGATGGGAGCTTCGGTAAGACGTCTAACAAAGATGGAACACTTAATGTGAATTTTCAAATGCAGTTGCAGTCATATTCTTAATTTTATCTTCCGTTATTTATTTCACCCATGTACATTTGAGACATGGTGCTGAAATTGAAGTTGAATTACAGGTTTTTTTAACTTCAACTATGTTAAACCTGCTTTAAGTTTCAGTGGGAAATTGTGATTATCAATATCATATCGGTCACACTATATTTATTTTGCTGTGATCTGCTTGTGTACATTGTAGCCCACAAAGGATGCTATGAACCACAGTTTCACTGGAAACTTAAACATTTCTCACAAGACAATTGCATTTATACTAATACATTAAACTTGATTCAGTAATATACATAAATAGTCCTGCTAAACACACATGTGGTGCAATTATTTTTTTTCTGGCAAGCTAGACAGTGCAGTACCAACTCGAGCATCTTTATTGTTGCCATGTTCAAAATTTCAACAAATTCCGACTGCTGACACACTCAGTGAATGTGCATAATGTCAGAATAGCAAGCATTAGCCTTTTCTATATATCTGTGAATTTCTTTCTTTCATTGATGTTCACTCGATATTTGTTACTTTGAAATAAGTGGGTTGTAACTTTATGTTCCTTTGTTTCATTCTCACTTATGATCTCTTTCTTGAATAATGCTTTATACAAATGCACTCCACCCCTCCAGGGATACCAAATAAGTATGTATCAGTTAACCATAACTGTTTCTTCATAGTCTTCTGTAATTTGTGTTACTATGATCAGTAACATTTGCAATCACCATGGTGGTGAATGTAACAAAACTATGATATTAGGAGCTGTCATCAAATAAATACAGGTTTACTATTGAGAACTACACTAATATGATATTAATATCATAATTATGGTAGACTAATAATAGAGACTTGGAGTTTATATAAGAAATTTCTGACTAGCTACATTAATAATTAATTAATCTCTTGAGGTTGAGTGTGAATGATTCAACTCGATATGTCAGCCACTAATTGGCTTATTATAGCAGCCCTGGATGATAGATGAGTATGGAGCATTTGGTGGAATGAAGATTAGCTAGGGAAATCGAAGTACTCAGAGAAAACCTGCCCCCGTGCCACTTTGTCCACCACAAATGTCACATGACCGGACCTAGGATTGAACCTGGGTCGCCGCAGTGGGAAGCCGGCGACTAACTGCCTGAGCTATAGCATGGCCATGGCTACATTTGTGGTCTCTGAACTCTTCTGTTTGTTTTCCCAAGGGTGATCTGGCAACTAAGAAAATTTATCCAACCCTGTGGTGGTTGTATCGTGATAGATTGCTTCCTAGCAACACGACATTTTATGGATATGCTCGCTCAAAGATGACAGTTGAAGAGCTGCGAAAAAAATGCCACCAGTACATGAATGTAAGTAACAATTATTATTTTCACTTTTACTGAATGGACATGGAGAACTTTGTTTTGGTTTATAGGCATAACAACAAGACTAGTTAATGTATGTTAAAAGAATTCATTTCAACTTGTATGTGGGTATGGAAAATGGGGTTCTGATTAAGCATCATTCAGAGATATCAAGGTTATCATCAGCTTCTTTGGCCTTGGTTTCTGGGAAAATGTTACTAATTTTGGAATAATATAAAGATAGAGGTAATATTTTCGCTGTGTTTAATTAACTGGAGACATATGAGCGAGTGGAGGTATAACTCCATTTTTTAGCTTTGTACTAGATGGGGTGAGTTGTCAGCTTCACGCCCTGGCCGCTTTACCACCCGGAAAACATCCTCAGTAGCAACCGGATAGGAGGCTGCTTGTGCCCCATAGTCGATCTGGAGGCTGTAAAATAATAATAAAACAAACATATTTAAGAAGTGAGATGGTATAGCGCAGTCAGTATAGCGACTCATTACTGGCTGGATGGCCGAGGGGTTGCATTTCGAGTCCTGGTGGGGTCAAGGATTTTCACTTCTCCATGTTGTCCAGACCGACTCTGGGGTTTAGCCAACCTCTTATCCAATGGGTAATGGGGGATCTTTGTCTGGGGGTAAAGCTGCCGGGAAGTGAAGCTGACCACTCGTCTCCTACTAGTCCTGGGATGAAGAAAACGTGGGTCTATACTGTTATTCCCCTACAAGTCTCCATGTCATACTGCTTACTTTGTTAAGTTCAGGGACAGTTCACGTTTCATATTAAGATGATATTAAATGCCGCCCTAATGCTGCTATTTTACGTTTGCGGACGGGTTCCTATTTCAAAGTTGTTCTATAGGGAATCCTCAGTATGCTCCTGAAGTATGGCACCAAATACCTGGGACACTCCGTATTATATTTGCACATTCCCTGAGTTCTGCATATTCAGAACACTATATTGGAAACACTGGTTTATATTTTTGTTCTGCTGTTTCATTTAATTCTGCATCAACATATGAGGCTTGCATTTGATACATCTTTAAACCTCCTCTCTAGTGATACTACTCATGTTATAGTGATTCCCTAACGTGTCTCAGTCACTTTATGCTAATTCTAAAATAATTCTTTAATGTAAGCAACAGCTTTTTCTGAATCCTAACCAATTCCCACATGAACATTAATATTTTAATAATTTTCTTCAGATAGTAGTTGTGCAATATTAATTTATCTGTACTACTATTCTAATTTTTTTCATCTCCATAGGTAAAGCCAGAAGAAGAGGACAGATATGAACAGTTTTGGAAACTGAATAATTATATAGCAGGAAGTTACAATGATCATGGTGATTTTAAGATGTTAAATCAAGCCCTGATTCGCCATGAGAATGGAATAGCAGCTAACAGGCTTTTCTATCTTGCATTGCCACCTTCTGTGTTTAAGGATGTAACTGTATTAATCAATAATCACTGCATGGGGAAAAAGTAAGCAAGTATAGAATCGTTTTTTACTTAATGACACTGATATATTTTGTCAGTAATTTCTATTTTCAACAGTCATTACTTGTCTTAGATCAAGGCTTTCTCCTGCATTAGCATTGGAAGCTGCTCCTAAGGTTCACTATTCATCATCATCATTTGGATCAACATCTCTTTTTTAAAGCTAACATATAATTTAATGCTTTATCATATATCACTATTGCTGCAACCAGCATAACTACATAGTTTAGCAGTTAACTTTTCCATAGTTTTTAGCAAGAATATTTCTGAATGAAGCATACATATTTGTACACATAGGAATAGCCAAGTTGTCCTACACTCTGGAAGTTTTTCTCAAGGTTCTGAACAGTTGTTATAATCTGGATGGGTCTCTGTCCCATTCAAGTATGATATGTAATCTGATATGTTATTACATGTCACTATTGGCGGAACTAATATATCTGGACAAATTATCAGTTACCTTTTCTGTCACACTCAACAATGTTATATCTGATTGGACCTTAATTTTTCAATACATTGTGTGGCTTAACATAATATTATATCATATCATCACTCAGTTAACCTTTATATGTTATCTGTGGTGATTCACGTGAAGTGTTTTCATATGCGGAAGATTTCAAATAGTGCATCACTGTAAATACTTTTAAAAATATGTACAGATCAAATTTGCGATTTTTAAAAACAATTCCATAACTGCATTAATTCTTCCTCTTATGAGAAATTATATATCTTAAATGAATATTATTAAACCCCTGCAACGAAGACTTGCATAATTCAAGACAAAAATGTACAATTTTTTGGATTGTCCAAATTCAAAATTATGGCAGTCCTTGAAGTGTCACATACAAAGACTTTTGCAGTGTTGTAACTTAAACATTATCATGCATTTTCTTTCAATAATAGTGGTCATTAACTCCTTGTCCCTTACGATGAATAGCCCAACAATTTAGCAATGAACATTTAGTAAAATTTGTTCACAGTTAAATATTGTTATTCATACTCAGCAATTTACAAAGTAGTTCATGGTGGAAGTATATTTCTTCTGATTGCAGTAACTGTAAGACTCTTTCACTTGGTTCTAATTTATATAATCTCAGAGATTTCCTCTGAATTTAGCTAAGTTTAATAATTCCATACTGCATCATCCATTGACAGTTACCTCAAGCATAAGCAGTGAACTGACTTACATAATTGTGTATAATTATGGGATGATAGTGTCATGATGAAAAGCTGTGCATAATGGCACTCTAATTGGTTATGTCAATAAAAGTGTTGTGTAGGAAAGACAGGGGCATGGTTAAATGTCAGTATAAGTTTCCCTCTCTCCTGTTAAGTACAAAATTAGAAGTAGATATACAGCATTGATTACAAAATAACGTTTCATTCATATGATTATTTAGATTAGTGATTCCCAAACACTTTTATCCATTAAGTTCCAAAACTTAAAGCTTGCAAATGCAGAAAGGACAAAATAATGTAATAATGAGTCATTTTTATGTTCCACAAAATAGATGATGAAACAAATAGAAGCAGATGTATGGGTCAGTACTCTAATGCAGTAGGCCCTGATATAACACAGCTTCATTATCTGCATTATGAGCTACTCGTATGTGAAACTGACATTTATAGTATGTAATCTACTGGGGGGCACGATAATCACTGTGGTGTATCAGAATTCATGATATAATAAGGTCCTGTATGCCGAGAAAACAACATATTATGATAATGTATCATCAATTTTAAGCTGCATTACATATTGTCACATGTACATCCATTGCTAGGCAACAGTTTGGTAAACAAGTTCCCACGAAGACAGACTTCTTGGTAGACATTCCGTTGCTAGGTTACACAACAATAGAGGAATTTCCAAATACATTCTCATGGCAATGGATAGAATCACCAATGGAAGAACTGCTATTTCTGTGCAACGGCCGGTAAACACTCACCCCTTAAGAACTTATAAACAATATAGGGGAAACTGTGTCTTCTGTGCTGTCCATGCAAATCTAACATATGGAACAATAGGACATCTGTTGTCAGGCAACAAAGTTGTAAACATGCATTATAAACAAAAGAAGACGGTGTTTTCTGTGGGGTTCGTGCGGAGGAGTCATCTTGAAGGCAGCTGGTGGTATGAGTCAGTGAGTGAGTGAGTTTTCACTTGGTTAAGTCAGAAATGTTCCCCCGTCACCCTGCAAGTTGTAGGAGGTGACAAAAAGGAAAGTCTCAAATCTGAGGCAGTAAACTATGGTCACAAGTCCCAAGGGACTCGGACCCGAGAAAGACTGGGTTGGTAAGGGCCAGAAGCATACACAAAAGACAGACCCGTCCTCTTATCAGAAAGAGTGCCCCACACAATCAAGACAGTAACAGCCAAACAGTAATAAATATCTGGTCTTACTCTCTGACTGACCATGAGTCACATTGTGACTTTGACTATGAGTCAGTCAGTTCTGGTATAGATAGCTACGGGAAGTTCAATGAAAACTTATAAGTCAGTCTGTGAAGACTTAACATGTGATTAGGAAACTTTATTTTTGTGTAATATTTGGAGTGTGTAATTCAATGAGGCTGAATTTTAAATGTGTTACCAGGAGAGAGAGAGAGAGAGAAGGAGGGAGGGAGGGAGAGAGAGAGAGAGTGTGTTTGAGCATGTGTGTGTGTGTGTGTGTGAGTGTGTGTGTAACAGCGAATTATAAATTGTACAAATAGCCATAGCCCTATAATTATGTATAATTATTTGTGGTGCATCACTCACTCATGGAGCTGAGCCCTTCTTGAGAAGCAGCAAATTTTGCATCTACTCAAGAACTTCCCAGCATTTGATGGAACCTGAAGGTTCATTGCGATGTTCCTCCACTGCTCCCTACCCTGAACCAGATCAATCCAATCAATACCATCCCATCCTATCTCTCTATGATCCATTTTAATATTGTCCACCCACATATGTCTTGGTCTTCTCAGTGGTCTCCTTCTTTCTGGCTTTCCCACCAATATCCTATATTCATTCCTCCTCTCCCAATTTGTGCCACGTGCCCTGCCCACCTCATCCTCTTCTACTTGATCATTCTAATTATACTTGGAGAAGAGTACAAGATATCAAGCTCCTCATTATGCAGTTTTCTCCAGCCTCCAGTCACTTAATTTCTCTTTGGTCCACATATTCTCATCAGTGCCCTGTTCTCAAACACCCTCAGTCTACACTCCTCCCTTAAAGTCAGAGACCAAGTTTCACACCCATTCAAAACCACAGACAAAATTATGTTTGTGTATATTCTAAGTTTCATGTTTTTAGACAGCAGATGAGAAGACAAAAGGTTCTGTACTTAATGGTAGCAACATTACCTGAGTTCAGTCTCATCTTAATTTCCTCCTGAATCAGTTTTTGACTTGTTACAGTCATTTCCAAATATCTGAACTGTGTCACATTCTCAAAACGTCTGTTTCCTATGAATGAATGTGTAAGGGGTGGGCCTTCTCAACCCTTGCACCGTGAACTACAGTGATCTATTGTGCTTCCCCTTTTGATTATTCCCTCAGCAATCTTGCGCTTTGAATGAAGCACAGATTTTGTACGTGTGGGCATCAAAATAGTCACTTGGTTCCATAAAGTATTGACCCAAGTGACGCAGTCTTAAATAAGCTAAAGCCTCACATTCAGACAGGGTATATATGGCTGTTTCATTTTCTTCTTGACACCTCTCACAAGTGGGACTGGTACTTAGACTCAGTTTGAAGAGGTGTCCTTTGAGGTGACAGTGTCCTGTAAGTAGTCCCACCACCCATCGTAGCTGGTTCCTGTTTAACTTCAACTGTCTCTTACCTATCTTCATGCCATGGTTTTGCCCTGCATTTTGGTGACAAGAAAACATATACTTAGTTTTCTTTGTGTTTACATCTAGACCAACCTCCTTACTAGTGCCGATTAAACTTTGTGTGTTTTTTTATGGTATCTATATTATCACCCAGTAGATTCACATCATCAGCATATACCAACAGCTGATATGTCCCATTTAATTTCAGTCCCACCTGGTTTTCTTGGACCTTCCTAATGGCATATTCTAAAGCAAAGTTGAAATGTTATGGCAATAAGACATCTCCTTGTTTTAGACTATTCTGGATAGGAAAATTATGAGACAAATGTTTTCCTATACAGATTTTACCATATGTTTAGTTTAACAGATTTTAATCAGCCTGACTCCTTTCATGGGTATGCCAAATTCTATCATATTATTATAAAATATATCCCTCCTAACTGAATCATAGGCTTACTGGTGGTGCATATAAGGAGTAAATGAACCCATACATCCAATCCCAAACTTGCTTTATTAGTCAGTAATACATGTGATAATATTTTATACAATTGCATGCACTATGTATTTTATGTATCCTCTGCATTGTCTCTCTCTTTATTTGGAATGTCAAAAACTTGGACTTAAAATCTGGATATTCTGACAATTTCTAATTTCTTCCACACACTTATTGGAGAAATGTATGGGTGCTACCATAATAGTTCCTATAAGTTCTGTCACTACTAGTAAAGAAATATAAGCTATGGTTGTAGAACAGACATCTATGAACTATAGCTTAATGTTAATGTTAATGTTAATATAATAGAAAATTAAAACAAAATTATGACATAATTTACTTTTTTTTTTTTAAATAAACATGTTGTTACAGGTGGACAGAAGCATAACATCAGTTCCAGTGTTTGGGAAATATAAGAGAAGACATTTAATTATTTAGATTTTCATAGCTTTCTGATAACTTCCAGTATTCTTTCAGTGGCTGGACTCGAGTGATTATAGAGAAGCCCTTTGGTCATGATGCAGATAGTTCTCTGAAGTTGTCAAACCATTTGGCATCATTGTTCAAAGAAGAACAACTTTATCGCATTGACCATTATCTTGGAAAAGAAATGGTTCAGAATCTCATGACTTTGCGGTATGTTCTACTACCAGACATTTTAATCACTTGAAGCTGCTGTGGATCACAAATAATTGTCCAGTCTCTTGTTTTATAAAGTTCAGCAACTGCTGTAAGTGGAGAATTTCATAACTTTATTTGAAATTTTACTTTGTGTATAGTGCAAACTATAAAGTAACTACTTTACCATCAGCAGGAAATATTACAAAGGACTGTTTATTGATAAAATGTTCACAGGAAGTTTTACATTATATAAGACATATTTACATATTAAGGTTTTATCATATTAATCTGCTTTTACAGTTGCTAAAAGAATTTTATTTTTGTTAGTTAAATTGAAATTTTTGTAAGATTCATTCATGTGATCTGAAAAAATGCTGAAACCTTGTTGTTTTGATGCCAATTCTGTTGGCATTTCAACATAAAATTGACTCATGTTTGGTTATGTTTCTTATTGAATATATAAGATTTTAGGTTTTCAAGGTGGTGGAAATTCATATAATTTTTTTTATTGCTAGTGGGGTGGGACTAAGTCCCTTGTACTGCAGCCACTTCTGGCCTATTGTACCAGCCGCAGATGATAGGTGAGGGTGATTGTGGAGCAATTGGTGGAATGAAGATTGGCAGGGGAAACCGAAGTACTTGGAGAAAACCTGCCCCAGCGCCACTTTGTCCACCATACATCCCACTTGCCCAGATCTGGGATCTAACCTGGGCCGCCACAATGGGAAGACAGCAACTAACCGCTTGAGCTATGGCGCGGCCAAATTCATATCATCGTCATCTTACATATGACACTGCATAATCTGGAAAAATATTGGCACCTGCTTACCAGCCTACACATCATCATAACCTAGAAGACAATATTATGTACCCGCTAAATGTTATATGCAGTGTGTTCAATATTTTATACTATGTTCTGTTGCATACAGATTTGGAAATCGTATCTTCAGTCCAACATGGAATAGGGAATGTATCTCTTCAGTCCTTATATCCTTCAAGGAGCCATTTGGGACTATGGGTCGTGGTGGCTACTTTGATCAATCTGGAATAATTAGGGATGTGATGCAGAATCATTTATTGCAGATTCTAAGTTTAGTTGCAATGGAGAAACCAGTATCAATTCATCCAGATGACATTCGAAATGAGAAGGTAAATTTACTGTTTTGGCTTCATATAAGTTATTTAAATCAGAATAAGGTAAACTATTTTAGTCATGGTAATGCAATGGGGTGTGACACTGCATTGAATGTATTGTGTAACATAAAGTTATAATCCAGTCCTCAGTAAATTACAAATGCACATACATGTAGCACATTCTCAAACTCATTTCTAAAGTCACGAGTTACATAATTTGTTGTAATTGCTGTCTTTGTTGCTAGAGCTGGCCATTATTACCAGAATACCAAGTGAAGTTGGTTGATTCCACTAAGATAAATGTTACAGGAGGTGTATGGGCTGTAATAGGACCATAATTACAGTGTGCTACTATCCCTCCTTCCACAGTGCAGCTGAAACCACTGTCCTATTACTTCTTGCATGCAACCCAGAGCCCAGATGTAAAAATACGACTTGTACATTAAACTGCACTATAGGTTTTGGTGAGAGCCCGGATAGCAAAGTTGGTATAGTGACTGGCAAGTATAGTATAGTCAAGAATTTTCTCTTCTCCACGTTGTCCAAAAGGGCACTGTGGGTCAGTCAACCTCCTATCCAGTGGGTACCAGGGACTTTTCCCCGGGGGTAAAGCAGCTGGGGCATGAAACTGACCACTCCCCCATATACCTTCATGGTGTAGTGCTTAATTAGTTAAGCACAGGGACAACTTTAACCTTTACAGGTTTTGGTAGTATGCACTGGATAAAGCTGCCTCAGAATAGGATCCATTGTCAAATTGTTGTTTCATTGCAGAATATCTGTAGTCCATAAAACAAGGAAAGTAATTATAATTGATTTGATTTGTAGATGTGTCCTAGCACTTTGATATAAGAAGTAACTAGACAGAAGAAAGTAATTGCGTGTCAAAAGGAAAGTGGATATTTCATATAACCTGAGGTTCTCATGAGGGTGAAGATTTATATTGTGGTCTGCTGGGTTATGACAATATGGTATTGATATTTTGAGGATACAGTATGGTTGTTCCTACATATTTCAAATTACTGACAGATGGGTACTAATATTTTAGAGGAGACTGCTATTTCTACATTCAAGCTGTGAAGATGGAAGCAGTATTTCTTCTTAAATGTTTGTAGCTACCTACAAGACTACACAGTATTGTAATGCAATAAGAATACTACATTAAAAATAAATACAGCATGTACCAGAATGTTTGGAGCCATTTCAAGTGACCATAATGGCTTTGGAAAGAAGCAAACTCCGTGGTTTTAGTCCACAAGCAAACTACATTGACTGAGCTACCGCCGCTTGTCAGCGAAGTTAGTGCCAACTTTAGCAGATAGAGGGTGTAGTGTAGTCAATGTAACAAATCTCCACAGCCGTTAATTTCGGTTTTTCTATACCAGAGCCGCTATTTCCTTGAAATAGCTCCTCAATTATCCTTATTAGGCTGAGTGGACCCCGTTCCAGACTTCTCAGAAAATCTGGTAGCGCTGGGAATCGAACCCAGGCCTCTGGATCTGTAGCCAGGAACTCTGACCACTAGACCACAGAGGCAGTCAGTGGCTTTGGAAACATTTCCCCATGGAATGAAAGAGCAGGTATTGAATTTTCGATCTCATGTGCAGTCCCACTCCTCCCCTTTCTCTCTCTCAGTCCGTGACATTACAAAGAGAAAATGGTGACTCCAGCAGAAAAAGCGTTTTGTGTGCTGCAGTTTGCAAAGCATGAAATCAGTTGTTTCTGTTCAGGGGGCCTTCAAGCTACATCCTCCATCTGCCAGCTGCATTAGGTGTTCTATCAGCTGTTTCAGTCAATGGGAATTTGTAATTTGTAATTGGGAAAGAGCAGGACGTCCGCTTGGGTCAGAAGAAAGTGTAGAATGCATGAGACAGTCTTTTCTTCATAATCCGAAGAGATCTGTACACCATGGGACGTGCCATGGGAATCATGATTTGGAGATGTCGACTGTAACTGTGTGGGAGGTGTTGCGGAAGAGACTGGAAGTAAAGTCCTATCATCTTTACTTTCTGCAGTTTCTTCAGTCATTTTGGTACATGGTGTATTAAGTTACTTACAAGGACATTTAATCCAAACTGAGAATTTTATTTACAGTAGAGAACAAAGGTCGCTTCCATGTGCTATGACATATTCTATAATATCATCAGAAAGGATTCTAACTATTAAAACCACTTACACAATAACCTTAGAAATACGAGGCGTGTTCCGTATATAATGCCTCCTATTTTTTTTTTAATGAAAACTACAACAGATACAGAAAGCATAATAACAAAGTTCAATAGAGCAAGATTTCAGCTACTTACAGTTATTTTTCCACATAATCACCACCATTTGTTATGCACTTTTGCCAGTGATGAGCAAGAGCCTGTATGCTGTGCCCATAAAAGTCTGTGCCAGCAGAGGCTAGCCACTTTCTTGCAGCTGCAATGACAGCATTGTTGTCTTGAAAATGTTGCCCACGTAGTCCATCTTTCATAGGCCCAAAGAGATGGAAGTCTGAAGGTGCTAAATTGGGGCTATAAAGTGGATGTGGTAAGACAGTCCAGCCAAACTTTGCAATGTGCGCGGTGGTCGCCAAACTGGTATGGGGTCTAGTGTTATCGTATTGCAAGTGAAAGGTTGTCTGTTTCTCTGGCCTGACTCAGGAAATGTGGGCTTTCAGCTTAGTCAGCATCATCTTGTAGCATTCAGAATTGGCAGTCTCACCAGGCTCCAGGAAATCCAACAAAATCACACCCTGCCAATCCCGAAAGACCAGCACATCACTTTCCCTGCCGATGGCTGTGTCTTGAACTTATTTTTTCTTGGGGAATCCAGATGTCACCACTCCATGGACTGTCGTTTGGATTCCAGCTTGTAGTGGTGACACTACATCTCATCTCCGGTGACGATGCTATCCAGAAACTTGTCACCTTCAGCCTCAAACTGGTGCAACAGGTCCTGACAGACTTCCATTTGAAGAGTTTTGTGATCCTGTGTAAGCATCCTTGGGACCCACCTGGAACAAACTTTGCAATAATCCAGCTTCTCCAACATCGTTTCCAATGCATTACAGCCGATATTAAGCCGTGCACACAGTTCCCTGGTCATTATCCGCTGATCTGTACAAATGAGCTGATCGAGGTGCTGTTCATTGTGAGGAGTGGCAGCTGAGCAGGGACGCCCAGGGCGTGGCTTGTTGTGCACTTCACTTTCGCCACTGTTGAAACACATTACCCACCACCTCACTGTATTGTCTCCGTACACCTTTAGCATGCATCGATGGATGTCAATGGGTGCAGTTTGTTCGTCAGTGAGAAATTCAATAACAGATCTCTGTTTCGTATGCAGTTCTGTGTCAGACACCATTTTGGTAAACTGCTCTGCTGTCACCATCTGTCGCATGACAACCAAACCAACAGTAAATTGGCAGGAAGGTTCAGCCTTTACTACAACACCACCAGCATCCAGCTCAGATGTTACATATTAACACAAAATATAGGAGGCATTATATACGGAACGCCCTTTGTAAAACCACTTCTACACACATATTTAAGAACCAGATAGCTCTATCATTAAACTGGTCAGGAGTCAGTATCTGGTAGGGCCTGAAATGTTCAGGCCAAACTCTTTGCCCAAGTAGCTGCTTTTCCCATGGATGTGAGGGTAAAACAGTTGGGTTATGGATAATTAATTATTTAACAATTTTGTCGATATCCAAGACTATACAACTTCAAACAACAGCTTTTTAGTAAATAATGAATTGAAAGGGATGTGTAAGGAATCAGCCATGGGCTAATTTAAGCTGCGGTCCCAGGAACTGCGTTGAGAAACTAAGGAAGGCCACAGAAGACCTCAGGCAGGTTATCCATTCTTTGTGTCAATGTCTGAACTTGAGACTTCCTGAACATGAAAAATGAATGGCACTTATTTGGTCCACAGTGGGAGGCTAACTACTTGCCTCTGACTAATGCTCCAAATGAGAATCCATGGCACTTACGTCTTACCTCCCATACACCTTCACAGTATGATGCTTAGACCAAGGGGTAAAGTCTGCATTTATTTGTTCATGTTTCTGTCTTCATCTGTCAATCATGGAACTGATCATGACAACCCATGAGCACTGCCAGAACAGTTATTTTTTTTTGGGGGGGGGGGGATCCAGACTATTTCTTTGCAGAATTTCATTAATACTACTCAAGAATACTTTTATGGATCGCTCAGAATTTTGGGCCTCTATATTGCAATATAGATGGTGCCACATTTAAGATAATTTTATTTTTTGGTATTAGTAATTGGTGTATTTCTTGTTCTTTCAATTTAATTTTTTTTCCCTTTAGAACTTTGTAGGGACAGAATCCTGGCTTCCCCCCCCCCCCCCCCCACGCGCCTCCTCCTACAACAACCACACATGTACTNCCACTGGCAGTCTCTCATGCATCAACACATGATGACTGAGACAGAGAGTCTTCAAAACATTGAATGCTAAACACATTCTCTTATGACTGATAGCTGAAGAAGATGCTCATTGCACTTAGCCAAAAATTCAAGGACATGATAAATGTCATAACTTTTATTTCAACTGTCCTGTTCTTCATATTCAGGGACCAAAGAATATTCATGATTGAATCTGATGCATGTGGAGCAGGTGCTGCTGTCCAGTGACTTCATGTACTCATAAAGTAGAAAGGTTAACAGCACCAAAAATATTTATCTTTTTGAATGGTGGAAATAAAATTAATGATGTATTAATTATTATTTAATGCACTGAAAATGGTCTACCATTCTGTCTGCATGATGTCATACATCAAGCTACACATTACAGATTGTAGGTTTAATTTAATTTTTAATTTTCAGGTCTTAACAATAGCTACAGGTAGGTGCACATACTTGATGCTCTCAAAGAGCTAGTTGTTTCTGTTGTTTTCAGACTTCACACAAAACTGCTCTGTCTATCTGTTTAGAAGTCAGAACTATGAAAGAGCTGAAATAAGAGTTAGAAAGCTTCATATTTTTTTTTCTTTAATTCTCCTATT